ACAAATCCACTTTGAAATAAAACCAGAAACTGCTCATCATTGGCTTATTGGTGGTAATGCTATCCAAACACACTATGGACACCATACCAAGGGCCATGATGTACCATAACCATGGACACCATAACCAAGAACATTGTAATAGGTGAACAACCATTCTTTAACAGACCTCCATAGAGCTTCACTACCACACACCTTCAGGGTCCCTGGTATAAAACTGATTCATATGTGAGACTATTTTATGTGTGAGGTTTTTATGACACATTAATAACTATATTGTAGGATTTAGAGAACAGCACTTCAGAGTGAAAAGAACCTTCATGGGCATTGGTTATACACAGCTCTAGGTCTGAGTTCCTGCCCTGGTAATGTCCAGTTGTGTGAATGGAACACTTTATTTATGCTCAGAGAAATAATTTTCTTCATTTGGTAAATGGGGATAATAGCATTTACTTTCTATGCTTCTTATGACAAATAAATCAGACAATAAACATAACGTGCCAGTGTAGGTTTTTAAAAACCTAGTTACTATGATTATCAGATGGGATATGGAAAGGGATCTTAATGCACACGAGGACAAATTTTGGGAAGTTGTATACTGTATTAATGACAAGAAAGACACAACTAAAGAAAAGGGCTGACAGGCTGACATGATGGGCAAAGTGCTTTATATTTTTAAGTCATAGTAGAAGCTCTCTGACTCATAGATCAATTCATGGAAAAGTAGGATAAAAGGAGAACTCATTTTAAAAGCATACACATATACTATAAAGACATTAACTTGGTAATTAATACAAATATTTTGATATAGGGCCCAGCCTTCTTGCTAAGTAGATGTCCACTCTCTGAGCTTGGCACTGATCTCCTTACACAAACAATACCTCAATGTAATGTCTGCAATGTCCAGGGTCAGTCACTTTAAAGTAAAACAGGAACAGAAGAACATTTGGAAAGCAATTTCGTCCAGATTTTTATGATCCTTTCCACCCTAGTCTTTATGGTTTACTTGCTAAAACAAATTCAATAACACTTTTGTTTAAAAACAAAATCTCTCCTTTATGGAATTTTTCGTAAGAACAAAAACCCTTTCTGTACTCATATTTTATTAGTTTATGCAATAATCAAATAAATTACTCAACAAGAATATAAACAGGTTTTGGAACAAACACAGCTAGTTTTTGCTAAAGATATACCTCAAATGGAAGAAGCAAAAGTGCCGAGGTCTAGTAGAGGACGACTACTTTCTAATTGTCCATGTAGTGCTGGTTCAGTTAGTGGGTTTTACAGAAGAGAACAAAATGTCAATGAATTTAGTAAGTCAGTTGATTCAATGATAGTTACCAGAAGTTAGTGCTATGGTGCTTCAGATTTTTTACAATCTTATTTCTGATTTCAAGTCTTAAGGTGATATTAAAAAGAAAATAGTTATAACTTTTGAGATTGGTGCTGTAAGAATTAGATTCCAGCACACATCTAAAATCTCTAAATTTACTTATAATATTTTTAAATGTATATTTTATTGATTATGCAATTACAGTTGACCCATTTTTTCTCCCCTTTATTCCCCTACTCCCTGTACCCCACCCCCCACCAACATTCCCTCTTGCTTAGTTCATGTCCATGGATCGTACATGTAACCTCTTTGGCTTCTCTGTTTCCTACACTATTCTTAACCTCCCCCTGCCTATTTTGTACCTACTATTTATGCTTTATTCCCTGTACCTTTTCCCTTATTTTCCCCCTTCCCCCTCCCCTCTGATTGCCATTTATGTGATTCTGTTCTTGTTCTACTTGTTTACCTAGCTTTTGTTTCTGTGTGTGTTTGTTTTTATGTTCAGTTGTTGACAGCTGTGAGTTTGTCATTTTATTGTTCATAGTTTTTGATCTTCTTTTTCTTATATAAATCCCTTTAACATTTCATATAACAAGGCCCTGGTGATGATGAACTCCTTTAACTTGACCTTATTTGGGAAGCACTGTATCGGCCCTTCCATTCTAAATGACAGCTTTGCTGGATAGAGTAACCTTGGATGTAGGTTCTTGCCTTTCATCACTTTGAATACTTCTTCCCAGTCCCTTCTTGCCTGCAAGGTTTCCTTTGAGAAATCAGCTAATAATCATACAGGAACTCCTTTGTAGGTAACTGTCTCCTTTTCTCTTGCTGCTTTTAAGTTTCTCTCCTTACCTTTAATCTTGGGTAATGTAATTATGATGTGTCTTGGTGTGTACTTCCTTGGGTCCAATTTCTTTGGGACTCTGAGCTTCCTGGACTTCCTGGAAGTCTGTTTTTATCACCATATTGGGGAAGTTCTCCTTCATTATTTTTTCAAATGAGTTTTCAATTTTTTGCTCTTCCTCTTCTCCTTCTGGCACCCCTATGGTTCAGATGTTGGAATGTTTAAACTTGTCCCAGATGTTCCTAAGCCTCTCTTTACTTTTTTTGAATTTTTGTTTCTTCATTCTGTCCTGGTTGAATGTTTATTTCTTCCTTCCACTCCAAATTGTTGATTTCAGTCCTCATTTCCTTCCCTTCACTGTTGGTTCCCTGTATGTTTTTCTTTATTTCACTTTGCATAGTCTTCACTTTTCCCGTCATTTTGCAACCATACCATTTCTGTGAGCATCCTGATTATCAGTGTTTTCAATTGTGCATCTGATAGGTTGGTTATCTCTTCATCACTTAGTTTTGGGTTTTTTTGGGGTTTTTTTTTTTTTTTGGAGCTTTGATCTGTTCTTTCATTTGGGCCATATTTCTTGGTCTTGGCAGCCCTGTCACATTGGAAGGGGCAGAGCCTTTGATATTCACCAGGGAAGGGAACCCAGGTTACTGCCTTGTGATGCTATATGTGAGGGAAGGGTCAGAGAGGGAACAATGCTGCTTGCTCAGCTCTCAGCCGGCTTTCAGTCATTTCCCCTGCTACCCACAAGCAAATTGGGCCCTTCGGTGCTGATTACTGGGTGGGTGGGTTTGTGTATGTTCTAGGACCCTGTCCATCTCTCCAAGGAACTTTCCTGTTAGGCTAGGAGTGTCTTCCATTGCTACAACCCCAACAGATTTTTACAGCCAGAGGTTTGAGGCGTTCTTTTCCTGTGCTGGAACCCTGGGCTCTGTGGTCTGTCTCGTCCCCCAGCTGTTCCTCCCAGTTTATCCACATGCAAATGTGAGACCACCTGGTCCACCAGTCATCACCTTGCCACATGTCCTTTCCGCCTTGGCTGCCTATCTCTGCCACTCCTACCGATCTGGATGAATGTTTCTTCTTTAACTCCTTGGTTTTCAGACTCCCATACATTTCAATTTTCTGGTGGTTCTGGTTGTCTTTGTTTTTAAATTTGTTGTTGTCCTTCCTTTGGTTGTGCAAGGAGGTAAAATATATCTCCCTACACCTCCATCTTGGCTGGAAGTCTCCCAAATTTACTTATAATATTTCTATTTTGCAATTCATTCTAATTAGATCACAATACCACTGACCATGCTTAAATGTTATGGTCTGAATATTAATACAGTGTATTTCTAGAACTAATTTTTCTTTTAAAAAATGTTTTTCAAACATTTTTACTTTTTTGTAGTAGAAATATTCACCACCACTCTCCCTATACACTTTAAACAATGAATGTAGAGTTGCTCTGAAGTTAGGGCCTAACTTCCTGTACACCCCCAGAGCAATCTCAAAAGCTTGTCTGCACAGCTCTAGGGCTTCTTGGGACTATAATCAAAAACTAATATTAAACAAAAAGAGGCATAGAACTTATTAACAGGGTATTACTTTACTAATTAGGATATTCAGTTAACCAAAATGATTTCTGATTCTTATCAGTTACTCTAACTTTGAATTGCCATTGAACTTAATGAAAGCCACAATAAAACAACTAACACATTTTGCTAAGTGGGGTATTTTATTAAACTTGAGTTATTTTTCATTGCATTTAATTAATCTTTAAGTTGTCCTAAAGTAGAATAAATTTGAGTATGCACAAGTCTAAATAAAGAGAAAAAATAGTTCCCAAAAGGGATTAAAAAAAAGATTAGGCTGATGAATAATAAACAAATTATGTAAATACCCACATCTTATTTAGAGTAACTTAAATAAATGTATCAAAGCAGGAATCTGCCATTACTGAGGCTTGGTGTCCTAGAGTCTGCTCAGTCAAAGGCCTGACATCATTGAAGGTAGAGAGCAAACAAGTATCCAGCCTAATAAACTGCTCTATCTGGTCAGTCATATTTTCTAGATATGAAAAGGGAAAAACAGGAGACTCAACTGGATCTCATGACCTCCCCATTTGGTGTTGTTATCCTTCCACCAATGATAAAGAAAACAGGTAAGGTTTGTAGTATTTCCTACCCACAAATTTTGTTTTGGATACAGGTAGAAAGGCAAAGTAACTGAAACAGAAATTAAGAGTACTGTGGAAAATATCTAATCAGCATAATTTCAATGTTAAGTGACAGGTAGTTGAAAGAATCTAAGCATTTCTACACGTAGCAATCAAGAAATTTAATAAATACTCTGTGAGGAGCATAACCCTTCTTTCCATGGTAAATTGAAAACTGGACAACAAGGAATTTGCTAAGTTGGAAAGTTTTTTCTCAGAAAAAACCTGTGTGCCACCATAGCCATCAGTGTAGGTGTACATATAGGTAGGAAGGAAAGAAGTAACTGACCTTTCAGGTTCAATCCTGGCTGAAGTGAACTACTCCCTTCAGCATACTTTAGAAACAACTACTAGATTGTAGAACCAGAGAGCAATAGGGTGTAAGTAAGCCTTGACTATTGTTTATCATTTGGGAGAAACAGGATGAACATTCAACTCTTCCCCAAAACTATTCTCACTGCTTTGAGAAAACATGAATCTGGCCTAACCTGACTAACTAGCATTATAAAGAGATATGAGCTTATTTTCTATCTTCTCAAAAACCACCAATTAAAGTTCAATAATACTTTTGAGGTATCTTAATTTTTGTGAACAATCTTAAAGCACTTGGAAATGATTGTACTTACTCTCCATCCACTTCTGGTTTTTTACACACACAATGAAACTTGCCGCCAAAATCTATATAAAGATCCTTCTCCACAATATGAATGACTTGTCCAATGACTACTTTATCTTTGGCAGGTCCCATCTGAGTGAGAGGAGAATGTCTCAGCATAGATGCAAAGGATTCCACATTTTTCGAAGAGCCCTAAATATGAAAAGAGACATTTATATGCATTAATTCAATATGAAGGTATAATATAGTGTTACAGGAAAAAATTTAAAAAGTCACTTTGTTGTATATTTACAATTTTGTAGCAATAATAAAAAACAATTACACAGAATTTGTTAAAAAGTGCCAGGTATGTTCTTCAACGTCCTTTTTCTCCCTTTCCTTAGTGAAGAGGAACCAGAGAGAAGCAGGCATTTGCACTTAGTAAGGGACAGCATGAACGAGATGGCCCAGAATGGAATCTGGAATGTGAGATGGGTCAGGAGTGGACTTTGACAAAGCCTCCCCATGTAGGGAAGGAGGGGAAGTCTGAGCACATGAGGAAGGCACCTGAGAACGCAATGGATTTTATTCCTAGTACCAACTATCTGCAAAAAAAGCACCCCCAAATTCAGGTTTAGTAGAAAGTAACTATTCTTTTAATACAACTTTAACACATTAAGATAAAAATGTTCTTCAATGAGCGGACTGAACATGAATTCGTTATGCAATATTTTAAATGGCTTGACCTTGTTATAATTTTCTTCTAAGGAAAAATAGCTTGTTTAATTGCTTTGTGCTTATTTCTGGAAGTCATTTTACATATTGAATTTACTTAAGGTATGACTAAAAGAATAATGCAGGCTGATTACTTTTTAAAAAACTTACCTTTTTCCATGAGTACGTATTTGTGCCTTTGATTCATCTTTAATTCATGTAGGGTGTGATATGTGTGTACCTTAGCTCAAACTAAGGAAAGTCCTGAGTTTTATATGAGAGAGTTAATTGCAGAATATTAACAATTTGATCTGACTACACACATCCTGTATTTGGGATGAGTTCTACATGTGTTTTTCAAGAGAGAATTATTAAGAGTTTGATAGCATACTTCACTTTAAAAACTCAAAATTATATTTCTGACTAAATGTTAATGCATGCAGTACTCCCAAGATGACAAACTCAAATACAGACTAGGTAGGGCTTGGTAAGCAGAAGAGCATATGCCAGTCTAAGGTAGAGCCACTACTCATTTCTAGCTGCAACTAGTCTAGTCATGGCACATCTTTTGATTTTTCTGAGAAAAGCCAGAAATCCATATATTAATGTAAAATTTCAAATTTTTAAGTGTTTACATACTGAAAAGAAGTTTTTCATTTTATAAATCTGGCAAAACACATTTTGGCCCATGGACCAAAAAGTTTACGACCTTTGCTTCAAAAACAAAGAAAGTCAAAATGTGTTCGGCTGATGCCAAGTTACTTAGAGGCAGGAGGGGGTGAAGTGATGGATTTGTTTTGGTGGGTTGCAACACACTGGGAAGGGATCCTCAGTACATGAGGGTCAATCCAAACCAAAGACAAGTCAATAGACCTAAATGCCAAGTAGAGCTAAGGGTAGTCAGGAATATTATACTTTGAGCCATAACACTAGTTTTATAACTCCATGTGGTATAATATTAATAGCCTTAATCAAGGATCTTGAAAAAATAGTTCTTTATTGAAGAGAGTCAGGAATGAAACACACTCCACAGGCTCAACACAGACATAGCTATGAATTGTCCTCTACAGGTCATGCAAAGGAAGTCACCAGGGACAAGAGCAGCTACTATGATCCTCTGCTGGGAGCACTAAGTCATCCACAGCAGCTGCCACCAGAGTAGGTAAGAGCATTGCTCAGGAGAAGAGCAGAGAGCTTATCAGCTTGAAGGTCTCATCCTGCTCACAATCAGACAAGATTTTTCCCACTTTGCCCTTCAACCTGCTTTCACATTACCCTTCCCCTGTGGCTAACAGCTCTTTTCCCACTCCCCTCTCTCCATGGCTTTTCTTTGCAAGACTTTCAATTGAAGCCAAGGTCTGAATAAAACAGCTTTAGATAACAGGAAGATCCAGTAGTAAATCCCATAGTTAAACATTTATTGAAATTAATTTGGCTATCACTAGGGCTTGTCCTAAAATAACATAATCTCCGTTATAATGGTGAAGAGATGTTTGGACTAAGATTAGTATGGCAGGCAATACATGGTATTTCCCCTCAAGTTTCAGAAAATAATTGAGTGTTCTCAAATAATATTTAAAAAGGTATCTTGAGATTTTTAGTAAATCTGTTGTGAATATATATTACATTATGAACTTTACAAAATTATGAATAATTTATTGAGGTATAACTAACATATATTATTATATTAGTTTCAGGTGCACAACATAATGACTCAAACGTTGTACATACTGCAAAATGATTACCACAATAAGTCTAGTTAACATCCATCACCATTCATAGTTATTAATTTTTTTCTAGTGAGAACTTTTAAGATCTATTCTCTAAGTGACTCTCAAATATGCAATACAGTTTTAACTATAAATCAACATGCTATAAATTACATCCCAAGATTTACTTAACTGACAGTTTATACCTTTTGATCCTTTCACCCATTTGCCCGCCTTCCCTCATCTCCCACCTCTGTCAAACACCAATCTGCTCTCCGTTATCTATGAGCTTGGGGTTTTTTTTGGTGGTTGTTTAATTTGGGGGTTTAGTTAGTTTGTTTGTTTAGATTTCACACACAAGTGTGATCATATGTTACTTGATTTTCTCTGTCTTATTTAACTTAGCACAATGCCCTCTAGTTCTATCCATCTTATTGCAAATTGAAAGATTTCCTTCTTTTAAATGGTCAAATAATTTATGGACACTTGGCTACTGTAAATAATGCTGCAATGAACATGGGGGTGCATATACCATTACAAGTTAGTGTTTCCATTTTCTTTGGACAAATATGCATAAGTAAAATTGCTGGGTCATATGGTAGATTTTTAATTTTTTGAGGAACCTCCATACTCTTTTCCATAATGGCTGTAACCATTTGCAATCACACCAACAGTGCACAAGGGTTCCCTCTTCTCCACAGCCTCACTAACACTTGTTTTTTATTGTCTTTTGGATAATAGTCATTCTAACAGGTGTGAGGTGTTATCTTATTGTAATTTTGATATACATTTCCCTGACAATTAGTGATGTTTAACGTCTTTGTATATTAGCCATCCAGACCTCTGTCCATTTTTATATCAAGTTGTCTTTTTCTCTTTTTGGCTGTTGAGTTGTACAAGCTCTTCGTATATTTTAGACATTGACCCTTTATCAGGTATATGATTTGCATTTATTTTCTACCATTCAATAGGCTGTCTTTTTATTATGCTGATGGTTTTCTTTGCCAGAAGCAGCTTTCAAATTTGATGTAGTCCTGCTTGTTTATTTTTGCTTTAGTTTTTGGTGTGAGATTGAAAAAAATCACCGCTGAGATGGATGTCAAGGAGCTTACCACCTACTTTCTTCTAGGATTTTTATCGTGTTAGGTCTTAGGTTCAACTCTTTAATCCATTTTGAGGATAATTTTTGTTTATGGTGAAAGATAGTCCAGTTTCTCTCTTTTGCATGTAGGTGTCCAGTTTTCCAAACACCATTTATTAAAAAGACTCTCCTTTCCCCATTATATATTCTTGCCTCCTTTGTTATAAATTAATTGACAATGTATTGTGAGTTTATTTCTGAGCTCTTTATTCTGGAGACCCCTGGATTAACACTTGAATTTGTTTTTCAATTGTACGCTCACTGTACTTTTTGGAAACTACATCAAATAATCAGACAAAGACCTCCTTCAAAAAATTACGGTGTAGAACCATCCCTGAATACCTCATTTACTTGTCAAATGACTTCTAAAAATAATAAATGTAGCACAGCAACTCCCTCAATCCATGTCGACAAACAACATTGTTAGCTCCTCTCCTCCCGATGTGGACACAGACTGTAGGCACATTGTCACATGTAGGGTATAGTATGGAGCTAAATGTCTAACACTGGTTATGAAAAATATTGCTATAGAGCTCATTTATAAACCTATGATAGCTAAAGTAGGTGCCTTAGAGTTGACTGCTTTCTTTAAGAACTGATCATAGGACTTCTAGACAAGATGGAGATACAGGCAAACACGGTTCGCCTCCTCACACAAACACATCAAAATTACAACTAAACTGTAGAACAACCATCACTCAGAACTGTCAGAAACTGAGTTAAATGGAAGTCTGACAACTACAGAACTAAAGAAACCATATCCATCTGGCAGGAAACGTGGAGATGCAGAGATGCGGAATGGGCTGGTCCCACACCCACATGTGGTAGGTAAAAATTCAGAAGAAATATCTCAGGAACAAGAAGACCAAACCCTACACCACGCCCCCCACCCCAGGGTTCCAGTGCCAAGAAGATAAGCCCCCATAACTTCTGGCTGTAGAAACCAGCATGGTTGGAGTCAATGAAAATAATTACTGGAATCCCAAGCTGTTCCCCTTAAAGGGGCCTCACAAAAACTTAACTCAGGCTCACTCCCTCTGGGCTCCAGCACCAGGGTGGCTGCTTGAGAGGTACCAGTGGCATATGGGGAGGGACTGAAATGTCTGGTTTCAGGGCCAGAGCTGGGAGACAGCTTTCTCCCAGACAGAAAGGTGGGCAGAAGCTGTTTTTCTGTTTCTGAGCCTCCCCACAGAGAGTCACAGAGCTGGCAGGCTGGTGCCATATCTGCGACTCCATCAACCTGGCTAACACTGTTTGCTCTGCCCCAGGAATCCCTAAGGCTGCAGCCCACCCAGCTTATGGGCCACCCAAGTTGTCAACATTGGCTTTTCCATATGAATGGCTGGTCTCAGCTCAGGCTTCTTATCTCCTTAAATTTCTCAAACAAGCAACAGCTGGCCTCAGTGAGCCCACAGCTCCTGTAACTCTTGCTAAATGGCCCCAGGCCTGGCACTATTAGCAGACTAGTAGCTTGGATCACAGTTTGGCTTTGCCTGGTCACCTCCAAGCCCCACACAAGCAGCAGCCATCTGCAGATTGCTAGGTAGCTCAGGGTGGGTGGCCCCCGGGCAGAGCACAGGTGGTGGCTGATGTTGGCCTGAATCACCCAGGAAATCCCAGAGCTTGCACACCTAATAGACAGCTACAGA